CAGACACTGTCCCCATCACCACAGTGTCCCCTGTCACCACAGACACTGTCCCCATCACCACAATGTCCCCTGTCACCACAGACACTGTCCCCCTGTCACCACAGTGTCCCCTGTCACCACAATGTCCCCTGTCACCACAGACACTGTCCCCCTGTCACCACTGCCCTGTGTGCCACCGCTGTCCCCCTGTGTGGCACTGCCACCGCTGTCACCCTGTGTGACACCGCTGTCACCTGTGCCTGCCTCAGCCACCACAGCCACGCTGCCACTGTCCCCCTGTCACCAGAGCCACCCTGACCCCACGCAGCCCCCGTGTCCCCCTGTCACCACGGCCAATAAACCACTGCCCCTCTTCTGGCTCGGTGCCACCCCCAGGGGCTCAGTGTCACCCCCAGGGTCTCGGTGTCACTCCCAGGAGCTCGGTGCAACCCTCGGGGGGGTCTCGATGCCACCCCCGCGAGGGTCTCAGTGCCACCCCAGGGTCTCAGTGCCACCCCCGGGGCTTCGGTGCCACCTCCAGGGTCTCAGTGCCACCCCCCGGTGGGTCTCGGTGCCACTCCCAGGGGTTCAGTGTCACCCTCAGGGTCTCAGTGCCACCCCCAGGGTCTCAGTACCACCCCCGGGGGGGGTCCCGGTGCCACCTCAGGGTCTCAGTGCCACCCCCGGGGGGTCTCGGTGCCACCCCCAGGGTCTCAGTGCCACCCCCGGGGGGGTCCCGGTGTCACCCTCAGGGTCTCAGTGCCACCCCCGGGGGGGTCCCAGTGCCCCTCCCCGGGGCTCGGTGCCAGCCCCGGTCCCGCCCCAGGGGCGGGCGGTGCCGGGCGGTGCCGGGGCCGCCCCCGCCCGCGGTGACATCAGCCCTGAAAAGGGCGCGGGCGGCGGCGACATCCGGCACTGCCGCCCCGGGGACAGCGGGACCCGCGCCGCAGGTAGGCACGACCCCCCCGGGAACCGGGCACGACCCCCCCGGGAACCGGGCAGGGCCCCCCCGGGCACGACCCCCGGGGCACCGGCACCGCCACGACCCCCCCCGGGCACGACCCCCCCCGGGCACCGGGACGGGCGGCGGGAGATGCCACCAGCGCAGGGACGGGGATGGGGACATTGCGGGACGATCACTCACACCCCCCCCACCACCACCCTCCCCACCCCGGGGTGCCCCTCCCGGGACACGCGGGACACGCGGCCGCGCCCGGGAAACGGGACACGGGTGGGGCTTCCGGCCCTTCCCGCGGGGGGGGGCCCGGGGAGCGGCAACGGGGGGGGCTCCGGACCCCTCGCCGTGTCCCCAGGGGGTCCCATCTACGTGTCCCCAAAGGGGTCCCTTCCACGTGTCCCCAAAAGGGTCCCATCTACGTGTGCCCAAGTAGGTCCCTTCCACGTGTCCCCACTGGGGTCCCCTCCACGTGTCCCCACTCCGGGTTCCCTCCCCGGGGGTCTCTGGGGACACCAGGGTGACCCTCAGCTGGCTCCTGTCCCCTCCCCGTGTCCCCAAGGAGTCCCCTCCCTGCTGCCCCCCTGGGGGGGGTCTCTGGGGGACACCAGGGTGGCCGTGTCGTGGGTACAACCCCCCACACACACCTTCCTGCTGCCCCGCGGGGTGTCTGGGGGTCCCCACGGTGACCCTGAGCTGGCTCCGGTCCCCTCCCCGTGTCCCCCCGGGGTCCACTCCCCGTTTCCCCGACACGGGGGGATCTCTGGGGACACCAGGGTGCCCGTGTCCCCTCCCTGCTGTCCCCCCGGGGGGTCTCTGGGGACACCAGGGTGCCCGTGTCCCCTCCCTGCTGCCCCCCCGGGGGGTCTCTGGGGACACCAGGGTGCCCGTGTCCCCTCCCTGCTGCCCCCCCGGGGGGTCTCTGGGGACACCAGGGTGCCCGTGTCCCCTCCCTGCTGCCCCCCCGGGGGGTCTCTGGGGACACCAGGGTGCCCGTGTCCCCTCCCCGAAGCCCCCCTGGGGGTCTGGGGGGGTCCCAAGTGTTGCTGTCCCCTCTTCCCCCCCCCCCATCGCTGTTGTCACCGGGGGTCCCCAACGTGTCGCGGTCCCCCCGGGTCTGCCCCGCGTGGTTCCCCCCCGAGCTGGGGGTGGCTGGAGAATCCCCGTGGGGTCCGTGGGGTCTCCAGGGCAGCGTGGCCGGGCGCGGGTGTGTCCCCCCCTCCCCTCCCCGTGCCCCCCCCGCGCCGCCTCCCGGGCAAGCCCCGGCTGGGTCGGGAAATGATCCCATTCCCGCTCCTTTGTTTCCCAATCCCTTGGCCCCCGGCCGGGCACTCCCCACACCCCCCCCACACCCCCCCCGGGGCCACTCCCGCGTGGGGGGCACCCCCTGCCACCCCCCTCATGGCCGGGGGGCACCCCGAGCCCCACCCCGGGGCGCTGGGCCCCCGCTGGGACCCCCGTGGATTTGGGGGACCCCGCTGGGACCCCCGTGGATTTAGGGACCCCACTGGGACCCCCGTGGATTTAGGGGATCCCACTGGGACTCCCGTGGATTTAGGGACCCCACTGGGACCCCCGTGGATTTAGGGGATCCCACTGGGACTCCCGTGGATTTAGGGACCCCACTGGGACCCCCGTGGATTTGGGGGGGGTGCGTGGGGTGGGGGGGGGAGGGGGGGGGTCTCATCCTGTCCCTCCTCCCCTGGTGAAAGAACCAACCCCCCCCCCCCAAACTGGACCCCAAAGTGGCACCCCCGGGGGTGCCCCCCAAATGCCCCCCCTCCCCCCCCTCAAAT